AGAACGGATAGAGGGTGCTTAGGTAAGTTAAATACCTTCAATTCAGGCTAAGATATACAAAAACCTGAGACAGACTGGTGAAATCTCAGAGCCTCCTGGCAACTGCTTATCTGTGGAAATCTATGGAGGATTAAGAACATACCGGAAAACTGCAGAAGAGTGAAAATGGTGATTATTCTCACAAAGGAGTAAAAAACACAGCAGCTGGGAATTTGCAGGCCTGAGAGCATACTTCATTTATCAGACAATACTGGCAGACATAATTAAACAATCTATTTGTAAGCACTGAAAAGAAATGAGCTCCTTGAGTGGCAGTCGGTGTGAACCTGTGCTAAGGGCAAATAATGTCAAACTAGTCTAGTTTCCATCTCTGATATGGTATCAGGTCTCATGGGTATGCAGAAGCAAATATATCACATAGTTTTACTCTCGAAAAGCTTTTCCTATTTTCTTTGAATCGCAACAACCATGTCCTAGATTAAAATGTAATAGGTCGGGTACAAAACCATTGGGAAAAGAGGTTATCAATGTTTAATGCAAATGGAATCTAGGATTCTGCCACGGATTGCCACAGGATTTTTACTATAACTGTATGACCAGTAGTAAAGAGTGGAAGAATGACATTATTAATTGACGAATGGCATAAAGATGAGGGGGACAACCAGGGATTTGGAGGCCAGACTTGATTCTAAACAAATATGAGTAACGGCCTGTAAAGAAGAGGATGCTGTTCCATAAGGACAAGTGCAAGGTGCTACAAGTACACAGGAATGAACAGCCCTACGAATACCAGTCAGGGAACTACGGGCTGGCTGGCAGGTTTGGGTAACGGGATGCGGTGATGTTGTCAGCCTGGGTGAGCAGGCTGTCCCCTGGAACAGGCAAATGTCACGCTGGGATGTGTAGCCAGCACACAGTCTGTCGGGAGCAGGTGAGAGGTGTCACTTCCAGCCTACTTAGACAGAGCTCAAAGCCTAATTTCAGGGTGCTGCTTTTCAGGAAAGAAGAGGAGCTATTGGAAGTGAAAGTTGGACAAAACCCAGGATGTAACTTGGGCTGTTTAGCCTGGAGGTGAGAGTACTGGAGGTAGGTAGAATAACTAAATAAAAGGATGTTGCAGAAAGGAAAGGGAAACTGTTTTCAAGATGTGTGATAAATTAAAGTAATGAGGATTAAATTTCATCACAGAAGTCTTAAAAATTAAGAAAAAATTCTCATATTTAGGATAGTAGAAGTCAAGAATGCATCAGACTACAGTGTGTTCTCATTGTAGATGTCTAATAAGCAGGAGAACATCTGTGAGGACTCTCATAAATATGGGCTGCCTGGCCTTACGCTGGGGAAGAAATTACAGGATGTGTCGAGATCCCATTTAGCCCTATGTTTTTGTGGCATTCAACATTTAAAAAAAAAAAAAAAAAAAAAAAAAAAATCGTAGATCTCAAATTAGGGGTGATATAATTAACTTTTTCATACTCAGAGTCATCCTAGTCATCCTGTACAGTGCATGTCTGGGTTCTACAAGGAAAAGAAGAAACAAAAACCAATAGGACATTTCTCTGCAGAACGGTGACATTTTTCTGTTTCAGGGGTAAGGCACCAAAAAGCCTACAGAAGAATAAAAAGTCTGCACATCAGCCTCTCAAATTTCTAGTGAAAATCCTAACAGCTTGCCTACCCTTCGAATATGCCCTACCTCAATTCTCCTCCAGAAGCATCTTCTACAGAGATAGGTCTGACTTGCTCCGACTCCACCGGCATAGCTCAGTGGCTGGCTGTAGGCCAGAGTGGGGCTTGCTAACAGGCAACCCAAACCATTTCTGTGGGAGATGAGCTAACCCAGTTATCGTGGGAAAGAAAGCAGAAGGTATTGGCGATCTCCTTCAGTCACCTTTTAGGACAAACACAGCTGGAAAAGGTGTTTGAAGGCACCTTTCCCTCCAGACAGGAATTTTTCACCGTCAGGGGCATTACTGGATGCTTGAGGTCTTCAGGCTGAGCACAGTGTCCTGGCTGGGAAGCAGGCCTCCACCCAGACCACAGGCAGCAGAAGTAACGATTTCTAATTTCTTCAGAGAACTAGCTTGGGGAAAAGGAAAAAAAAAAAAAAAAGAAAAAAAAAAAAAGAAGAAAAAAAAAAGAAACCCGGCAACAAAAACATGACAGAAAAGCAGTCCTGAAAGACAGGAGACACAAGGAAAGAGCAAGACAGACAAGAACGGCGACCCGAGGGAGGTAGGACAGCAAGGTAACGCAGAGTGGGAAGTCTATGGGAAGACAAACAATGTGTTTTTACTAAAGCTGTTAATTCACTCTTCACGTCTCCCACTCAAGTCATCCATCACAACATAAACTAAATAGAGCTCAGAGCACAGCTGCCTGCCTGCCACTGTAAATGAACCTTCTGTATACGGAGCACTGCTCCGGCAAGTTGGCGTCCTAAGAGGAAAAAACCTCAGCTGCAAAAATAAACAAATCAGGTACCACAACCCTCCACCCTTACTTTTTTCTTTTTTTTCCAAAGAATGTGTGCTACTAAGTTTTAACCCCTTCTTGCTTGTTAACTAAGCTCAGTAATTTTTCTTTGCTTAAAACACACACAGCCAGTATCGTCCTGGGGCACTTAAATGGTTTTTAGTGTGTTTTACTGAAGAGTGCAAAGCTTTACCGAGCACTGAATCTGGGCTCACGTAAAATTTTTCCTCTCAGAGATGGCATAAGGCAAGTTCCAACTCCCACTGTCAGACCTGCCAAATAAATACCCATGGACCTAAGATGCTCTTGGTCTCAGAAAAAAAAAATAAAAATGCTTTTCAGTCTCTCCTGCACTCTTCTTGTGACTCTTCACAGTTAGGGCTTCCTGTCTTTTGCTACAACCCTTGCTTTAGGGATCAAGTGATCAGTGAAATTTCTGTGGTGTGTGAGGCACTGGGAGACACAGAAAAGAAGTTTGATGGATTACACACATGCTATGGCAGCTCACAGATTCAGGTGATCAGGTACTGGGATCTACCAGGGGTCTTAATTTTATGCCTGTGGCTAGAACAAAGGTGCGAAGTGATATTGCCATCTAGAGAGCAGTGGCTTGGCACTTCGATATTTGAATGGGACACGCTGGCGCGGTGGATTTTGCAAAGTCATGTGAGGGAAAACAGGAAAACCAAGTTTTTGGTCCGACAACATCTGAGCCTGTCATTGGGCCTCCTATCACTCAGGACAGCTTGGGTCTGTGCCTGCCTGAACAGCACTGCTCTCCAACACTGGCTGCTTTCCCTGCTCAGAGGAAGGGAAGATTCTCTCCCTGCCTGCAGATACACAGAGGTGGCTTCCAGCTGAATTACAGTCTCCATGAGATAGGAGAAGTAAAGGCAGCATGAATGAACCCGCCTCACAACACCGATAAAAGGGCTGCGTTCTCTTTTCTCATAAAAATCATTGAACACAATGCATGTAGGAACAGCAGAGTTCTTAACAGACAATAACAGGGTAGCAATATGTAAACCCCTAGGTCTTCTGAACCCCTGAGCTGCTGCTACAGCAAGGGAGGTTGCATCGCAGCATGTTTGGGCAGTCTGGAAAGGAAGAAGCATGACAGCTTCCCACATGTTTAACAGAACAACAAAACATCACAAATACTCTAAGAAAAATACAGCAACACTGCTAGTTAGGTCATAAAGCGTGAGGAGTTGCTCTCTATAATCGTGAGTGAAACTGCAACCTGTGTTTCCAGGTGAGAGACTGCTGACTACAAGCAAGCACAGACATTTGAGCAGGCAACTACCACTCAGAATGTGATTGATAAACTTTGTTTTATGACTTAAAATCACATTGAAACTAGGGTTTTTTTTTTAATACGAAAAGGTGGATCAAATCTAGCTCCTGTTTTGTATAAACTGAGCATGTTCTGGAAAATTCTTCTTTTTTTATTTTACAATTATTTAAACTTTCAGTGGTGTTTAGACAATAGCCTGCATAAAATCTAACAAATGATGAGTCAAAATTCATTGCAGACCTTTTGTGAGAACAGACTAAATCAGTGCGTAAATACCTATTCTAAACTTTGACAACATCACAATGAAAGATACAGGAATTGCAACATACAATTGAAAGAAGAAACAAAACCACGAAGGAGGAGTAAAATAAGGCTTTTGTTAGCTATGAGTATGACTCAGGTCGTTCTAGCAATACTATTTTATGACACAAGTTAATCACATAGTCCTGAATGTAAACGCCACCATTAGCAGTATGGTGGGTACCATTGTAGACCTGGGTAAAAAAACAGATAGCACAGCATCTAATCCCATCTGTAATTAGGAGGTTACTTTTCTTAGCTCTGAGAATCCTGAAAGGGATTGTTAACAAAGAGCATATTGGATCCAAATTCACTTACAAACTTCAGTAATTTTCCCGATGCTAACTAGCATCAGGCCTTTCCATTCCTGTTATGTCACACAGCTTGCTTTGGCTAGTCTCAGCTCCACGGGTTTAATCAGAAATAGGCTTTTCCTGCTGCGTTTTTGTTTGGTTTGCTTTTCCTGCAGGTGATTAGAGTATCTTTGCAACTGCTTGCATTATGGATTAAAAAAAGTCACCCGCAGGTGGGCTGAAGTAATCACATTCTGCTAAATGTTTATTAAAGCAGTAACTGTTTTCATTTCCCAAAATAGACAGTGCACACATCATCTACTATATAAAATTCTGTTAAAATAAGAAAGAAGTACAATCATAAGCTTTTACAGGCATGGAAAGCCTTGCTTAGTCTTTGGTTCAACTCCACATGGTAATTGTAGATGCAAATAACTTATTTGCAGGGACTTGTATCACTGAATAATTATCAGCACTTTAAATGCCTTTTGCCAGCACTTTAGAAACAGATGTAGCATTTGGGATGCTCAGGAAGCTGCCTTTATACAAATGCTCCATTCATCGGATTAAATATTGACCTTAGGCAGGAATCAGTATCAGGCCATGAACTTGCCATGTTCAGGGAAAACACTCACCGTTTTCCTCAGTTAGATCTTACTGCGTTGTTCTTTCTAATGCATGGGCTGAAGAACTTCAGGAATGAATGCCTCCTTCTGCGCGTTGGGGTAAACTCTTCTGATTGATGAAACTCGCCCAGAGCTCTGCAGTACCTGCACTCCATCTCCCTCCGTCTGAGTGACCTTGCATCTCAAATAGCTTCTTTTATTGCTGCAGCCCTCCCATCAGCCATGTTATCTGGCTTACAGAAGAATGCCGAACGCCTTGAGTGCACTTAGATCTATACTCCCACAAAATCCTATGCTGATTAAAGCAAATAAGTCAGTTGTACAGTTTGTGCAATCAGGAGCTAGACGCATTGCAATGGCCAGTAAACGGAGTCTGCTGCGTTCCCCATGTCTGACACTGCTCCTCATAAAGCTGAACGATGTGTTTTTGTATGCATAGGTCCTTTGTTCATTCCGTGGCAATATAATTGCCATTGCCTATGTTTGGTTTTGACAATATAACGGGGTCACTGCGATACCATGCTCTACCATGCCTGACTGCTCACATAGGAGATATCACACAGCAAGTGAAGAAAAGCTCTTGAGAACTGCATGACTGAGCAGGAATTAGCTGAAAAGCCACGTGCATGTGGACACATTTCTTCTAATTAAAATATCCGTCTAGTCTTGGGAACGACTCCTCACACTTGGTAAATACAGCAAAAGTCTTGAGGCCATAGTCGCATAGCACTGTCACCATCGAGTGAGAAATCGGGAGTGGAAAAATGACACAGACCTCCATCATGTGTTCCTGTGCCTTGTAAAGCTGAGGTGGAGTGTGCCTCCCTCCTCCCATCATCCCCAGACGGAAACAAGTATTCACAGCATAGTCTTCTGGAGCTGGCACGTGTGCTTTGCAACTCCTGCTCTTCAGCTGCCAGCTCTGGTTTAGGAACTTCTTCCTCAAGTAAAAAAAGAAAAAAAAAAAATTACTTCTTTTCCTCTGTGTGACTACCATTCTTTCATTAGTTTGCCTGTTACTAAAACTCCAATATTAACTAAACTATAACAGATTTACCTTGAAACAGATTTCCCAGATCATTTCAATCACCGGAGCACTCACAGGCCAACATGACAGGTCACGTAGAAATACCCCTCCTAGAAAGTGCAGGGAGAGAGAAAGACTCATCGTTCCCGAGATCCAAGAATTTCTACATATCTTTTAACTAAAAAGTGCTTTAGACTCGTAAGAGTCACAGATAGAAGCATGCAAGCTCTTGACTTACACAGTAACATCCCCTCCAGAGAACTGCTCACACAGTGTGTATATGTGTGCACAAACGTAACAGGTACAAAGGTAGTTACAATCTAAGAAAGTGATGAGAAGTGATGAATGCAGTGATATATCAAGCTAAATGGCATATTTGGAAACCACTCAAACCAGACATATTCGTTAAACGCAACTCTACTCTCCATTAAAAATGGTGAAGTCTCAATCAAGTGACTTTAAGTGTTTTAGAAACTGATAGTTGTAAATGTCTGAGACAGTTGGGTTCACTGAACACTCCTCAAAAATACAGTGTGGTTATGGTCAATAAATAGGTGCAATTTGCATTACAAAACACCCACTCTCAACTCAGGGCGAGCTGTCAAAGGGAAAGGAAAGCATTTGTTGTCGACAAACTATCAAGAAATCGCCTTCGTCTCAAGCGTTGTTGTGCTATTTGGAGAGCCCTTGTATCCAGATATCACAAAGGAGTTGCCATATGGTTTTTGCCATTTAGAGGTCTTTCTCTAGAGAAGAACTTATCCATCAGCCACTGGAGAGGGCTGGGGGTTACGCTTTGGATCCCACTTGCTGTTCCACTGGGGAGGAACCCAGCTCGTCTGGAGCTGCCATTCACAACATCCTTGATCGCAGCTGGCTTCCCATATGTCTTGAAAATTACTCAAAATTAAATTAAACTATAAAGCTTGGATAAAAAAATTACGATTTGCCAAATTAGTCTTTCTAATGAGCCAATTAAGTTCCTCGCTAGTGCGAATTCTCGTAGAGCCAAGAACTGCTGTTTCTCAAAACAGGCTTAGGAAAAATTGGAACTGATGTTGGGTTTTGGAAGTGAAGATGGCAGGCAAGGCATTGCCATCATTATTCTAAAAGTGCAGTCTGCACATAGGCAGCTAACCAAGGCATTTTCTCCCAGATGAAATACTAACGTTTGGTTTGGAATCAATTTCACAATGTGCTTGTGAATGAGGACCATAGATCGGTGCCAACGCATATCATGAATTCATCTCTGGGTGCTATTAGAAGAGCAGGGTATAATTTTACATAAAAGGTGTCTACATCTGGTACTGTACATATGCTCCTTCCCCCTTTCCCATTCAAAATAAAAATAGTAACATAGGAAAAAAGTTGGGAAGCTTTCAAGAATTGCTGTGAATTCCACGAGAAGGAAAGTTTCAGTAAGTCTGGAGATTTGCCGTGGACGTTCGCACACCGATGCCAGCAAATTTGTCCTGGTGGCTTAGCAATTTGCCAACATGTGGCATGCAGCAATTGAGAGCCTGCTTTGTTTTTAAGAGCAGACCCATGGCCCCTTTTGTACCTAATGAGGACAAAACCTCCCAGGGACAACGTGGAGATGTCCTCTGAGGGGTGTAAAGCCATCTGCTTCCCAAAAACTCCTTGGAAGAGAGGAACCGCTTTAGGACATGCAGAGCAGAGAACTCGAGGGCCTTTTGCTGAAGTCATCTATCCCTCTCCCAGTGGAGGGCAACACTTGCCCGACAACGGTCTCAATACAACTGCAAGGAGCACAAGGCTGACCACAGCTAACTCCTTGGAGAGAAAGATCACGGTAAGAAAGAAATTTTAATATTCATTTCTTGACAGTTTGCAAAAGTTGTCCTCTGTCTGGGAAAGCATAGAGGGAAATAATTAACTACAAGACAAAAATAGTCACTCCTTGAAATATATCTGTGTGCACAGATACCTGGAAAGTATTAACTGTGTTTTAGCCAAATTATGAATCCAGACTTTCTATTGCCTTTACAAAAGAAGGACTCTTCCCTGCCTTTAAACAAAATGTGTTGCTTCTGCCTGTATTTCCTTCAAATTACTAGCATTTTTCTGAAGCCCACTGATGTGACAACAGCATTCCAGATCTGGACTCAGCAGTGACAAGAAAAAAAGGGAATCTCTCGATCCAATATTAGAACAAACCAAACGCATATTTTCCCCAGAATGCTATATTCTCCTATTTAGTCCTAAACGTTTCATTTCTTCAACTAATTTTAGTTCATGAGGCCATACAGCTTAAATATTTGACTGGATTTTGAACTAATGTTTCCTGATGTCGTAAATGTTTACCTCGAACGCAAATGCTTCTTGCCCCTTGGTGTAACTATCCAGTGGGGCTTGTTAGGATGCCCTGAGTGCTTTTTCACTTTGAGAAATTTTATGGACTGTCCCACAGTGAAGTACTCAAAAAACCGAAAAATAAAACCCGGAAAATTCATGTTCCAATGCTTCTTAACGGGAATAAAGCTACTGTAAAATTTAGTAAATACGATACTGCAGAAACAAAACACAAGGCACCATCTACTATAGCCCGATTTTCTTCAGTCAAGTTATCCCTGATTTAAACTGTACCACGTGGCCAATATCAAAATTTGCCCCAACAAGTCTTAAGCTCCTTCAAGTTCTCCATTTTTCAAAATCACCTAGAAAAAGACACTTCTTTAAAAAAATGTTTCGAAGCACCACAGTACTTAGCACTGCCTCTGCACAAAGCCGAACAGCAAACTTTTCTTCTATTTGTGCTGTGTGCCTAAGAGCGGTATCGCTTTTCCTAGCCAACAATTTGACAGGCACCCATCACTGGAGAGCTCCCTAGAAACAGTTCTCACACTCAGGACAGGGGTCGGGGCAGTCCATTCCAGGAGCTGAGTTTTGCAGAAGCGTGGGTTTAGCAGAAGCCATCCATTTGTGTAGTTTGCTGTTAGCAGACCAAAAAAAAAAAAAAAAAAAAAAAAAAAAAAAAAAGGGGGAAAACAAAAAGAAAGTAAAAGCCAAGCAATTAGTGTGATAGTAGGAAAAAAGATCCATAACATCGTAATATATGCAACCTGTATGCCTTTATTCATTTGGTTGAATGGCAATGGGTATTTACTAGTGACAGCAGAGCGTTTCAGAAACCTGAATTTGACCTACGCAGTCGTAAAAAACGGCCTATCATCACCATTTTTATTTGTATACAGGGACAGATTTTAGCTAAAATTTATTGGCCTAACCTCATTGATTTCAAGGGCCTATGCTTACAGGCGTGTACCAAGAATGTGACCCAATGTTTATTTGTTTTTCAGACCACAAAAGCAGTACTGCACCATCTACCAGTGTGTTTTAGTAAAGCTGACCAACGGTGACTCCTTTTGCTTTCGTGCACATGTTTTCATGTTTCCCACAGATCTGCTACTTTTTCAGGCTCTCACTAAACCAAAAAATGCATCTGACTTCCAAATATCTCCTGACTTAGTTGAGTTTGTTCCCATTACTTCATTTTTACTTTTGCACATACATCAACTAATGTTAAACAATGAAGACAACCAAAGCAGAGAGTTTTGCTCACAGGTTATTAAATGACCATTAATCTTTTCCTTTTTTTTTTTTTTTTTTTTTTTTTTTTTTTTCATAACACAGTTAGAAATACAGATGTGAAAGCTGGAACAGAGAACGTGGCTGAAGTGGCAACCAAGATGGTGTAGCAAATGAACAGACATGTTTGCATAATATCATGGCAGCCTCCTGAAAGGCAAAAATATATACGTTGCCAGAGCAAACAGATGGTTACGCAGCATGCGAGAATGTATTTCTTTTGCACAAATTCAGCTGAAGGAATATAAAATAATGAGCTCATAGTTAAAGGACACATGAAGAGGAAAATGTGATTAGTCATCTTTAATTTATTTCACTGGGCCTGATTTTTTTTTTTTACCTAAATCAATGATAAAACTACCCTTAACTGTAGGTGAAAGAGTCTTGAATCCATTGCATGTGCCTGCTTATGTTGTGGCAAGCTTCTAGCTGCACCTGCCAAGATGTGCTTTCAAGTACTTGAGCAATTCTTACAGAATTAGCACGGTCTGTCAGAAAAAAAAACAACCTATGGGTTTGAAGAAAGAGCACATGCAAAGACAAGGTGGCGTAATTTAAAATGTCAAAATACAGTTCAATAATATTTTAAATGTTAAAACCAAAGTTTTAAGGCCATCTGTGATATTTGATAGCCCATCCCTACGTTTCGCTTCATTTGTTTATGTAACACTGCTGCAAGCTGCCGAACAGGAATAGCTGCATTTTAATGATAGATGTAGTAAGCCCATAAACAGAGATTGAGGAATTTGGGGTGAGAGAGAGAAAGGCAGAGGGCAGATGTTAAGGAGAGAAAGAGCAAGAGGGCTTAAAGACCTCAAGTGAGGATGAATTCTTGGCTCCGCTGAAGATTATGGAAGTTTAATCAATTATTTCAGCAGGATCAGTATGGCAATCGTGGGTAAAGTGCACTTGGATCTTGTGCAACATATTTCAGAGGAATGTCAGGTATCATTAGTCCACATACAGTTAATGAACAATATTTTCTTGAAACTGCCTTTGTACTTGAAATTAATTACCAAATAGCTTAGATTATCAAATTATAAACCCTGTTCCCATAAAAAAAAAAAAGTAGGTAAACCAAAACACCTTCTGAACAATTCACTAGCTCTAGCACACTGAGCAGAAAGCCGACTGGATAATAATGAATTTTGTGATGAAAACAAATCAAATAATTCGCTCCTTTTTCATTAAAAGTTTTGATGACCATTCCAGAAACCAATTGCTGTGATTGAGTAGTTACCTCTACAAATTCTTGCCACGATATCAATGAAATAAAAATTAAAACGTTAATTCTTTTATATATATGGTTCAAGAACGGAACAGAAAGTAATGAAGAGGTTATGAAAATATGGCGCAATAGTCAGGTTGGAGAGAGAGAAAGATTATTAAGCCCCTTTTAACTACAAAATACAAAAATTCTCTATATTCCTCACAGGAGGTGATTCTATATGGGGAACGGTCACAGAAGGTCTGCATGTAGTAAGAAGTTCAATGATGCATAGCTGCTGGTCCTACAGATAATATCTTAACACCTCTCCCTTCAACAGCATAACACCTACGGACAGTGTACTTTCTTTTGAAATAGTCTCCTTACAAGGCTCCATTCAAAAACCTGTCCATAAAGATGGCCTTCAGAAGCTATAAATCTGATCTCATGGATCTATATAATTCTTTTAACTTTTCAAATAAAGGAGGAACAATTAAAATACTGAGGTTTATTCCCCCTCAAAGACATTTACCACCCAAAATACTGGGAAATGTTAACATCTTTTCATTGGACTATTTTCTGTTGAGCTTTCTCAGCATCTCATGAAGTCCACCCGAATCCCATTTCTGTCCTTTGTACCAAACTTCTCCGCGGACCACGCTTTCCACTGCAATAGGATTTCTGCAATGCAAAGTGTGTTGTGCGGCCATGATCTGGTATGAAAGACCTGGCTCTTCCCGTGAACCCAGGACCTGCAGCAGGAGTGAAATAAGGCACTGTGAAGGTATCATCCAACAGGGATGAACACAGATTAATAAGAAGCAGATCTAAAAGGAAAAGAATTGGCTTCGGTTTACGAACTGATGTTTTTAGAGCTAGCTTGACAAAAATTGTTTTCTTCTCAGCTGCAATTTTTTTTTTTTCCAGTAGCAAATCCAAAACTTCAGCAAATACTTTTTAAAACACCTCATTTCACTTTCCACAAGATGACAGAGCAATACCCCCCCAGCTCACACAAAAGGGCAATGTTTTTCCCACTTGAAAATTCAGCTTGAGGGCTCCTCCAAACACAGAACGGGTCTGACATGAAGCTGTCAGCTTTTGTTGGAGTGGAAGAGCCGAGCTCTCAGTGTTTAGACAGCGGACAGAAAGGGAAGAGGGCAGGATGTGGTAGTGGTTATTCAGTAGGTGGCACTTTTCTCTATGAGGTTCCAGTCTGGCAAGAAGCCCTGGTCAGTCAGACCCCAGACAACGGATATATTGTCCAAAGGTTCAGAAATGGAAAAATGTTGGGTGGTTGGGTTTTTTGGTTGTTTTTTTGGTTGTTTTTTTTTTTTCCTCTCTGATGCTTTTCACTTGCAGAACATAAACACATGGTAGATTCAGTTGGACTAAAATAAGACAGGCGAGAAGTCCATCTGCACAGAGCTGCCTGCAGGACTGACCCTGCCACTCCTGATTTACCGTGGTCAAAGAATAGAGCCTTGTGCCTCGCTGCAGCAGGAGGTGCAGGCTGCTGCTGGAGGCTGGTAAATATTGTAGTGAAGCCTGGTGTTTGGTGTTTTGACCAGATTTAAATCTGGTCAACGTCACTCTGCCATCCAAAAGTATTTTCAGGGTTTAATTTGGCTGATATATTCATCTCTGTGTGCATCATAACACACTTCTGTCAACTGCTATTTCTGTGAGAGTGGCTGCTTTCCAGGAATGGAGAATTTGATTTCTGTATGCAATTAAAAGAGAGAGAAAGAGGGAGAGAGAAAAAAAAATCCAACTGAGTTCACGGTTCATCTGTTGTTAGAAACTCAGAGAGGACGCGGTATGAAACTGTGGCCTTCTGAAAACAGTTAATCCGGAATTAGACAACACAATAGTTAACCTTGCTTTAAGACAAATTTCTGCAAAGGGTTAATTACAGACACGGAAACAGACTAACAAAACAAAACAAAACATGTGGAAGGCATCAAGCCTAAATTTTCAACATGAGCAACACTAATAGACCTTTTCTATAGCCAGGCACAACCCCTATAATTCTACAAATTAGACTGAGCCCCTGGGAAGTATGTGCCTGCAGCTGCTACGCAGATGTGCAGATAGAAAATGAAGCGGATTCTTCCAAGTAACACTGGATGGTTCTGAGGCTAATAAAATTACCAGTGATCCACTGTTAACCGACAATTTTCCTTATTCAAAAGTCATATATTTTTATCTTACAGAAAAACACATTAAAAGTTGGAAAATATCCTCCCATGGATGGGCAACAAATTTAATTCTTCTCACTTCTGAGCGATTCCCATCTTGTAAATATTAATTTATTGTTAAATGTCTCTTTTTGGAACTAAGGAAAGTTGTCCTTGGTGTTTGTTTGGTAGTAAGAACTCTTCGCCAGGAAGCTGGTTAATATTTGTCAACACAAACAAAGGCACATACCCTCCTATAAGTATTTATCCAGCGTTTAAACACAAACTTAGCTTCTGCTTGTGAAAGATGAAGGAATAGCCGCAGAAAACCTATGTGTTTGGCTGACTGTCAAGATCGGCTAAGAAGGTGGTTGCATATACTGCCTTTCTTCTTTGCTATCATGCGACTACATACTTATTTTTCTGCAGTTTCTGACCTCCACATTAATACATAGTGAAGCTTGGATTTTACAACAAACACAGAAGCAGAGGTTCTCAATAGATCTTGGAAAAACCAATTAACCAAACTCAGCAAGAACCGAGGGCAAGCTCCCAGTTCAGAGGTGGTTAGTCAACTAAATAGACCTTGAGAAACCTGGCCTTGAGTTCTTCGACAGTTTTGACAACCACAGAGCTAAAGGATCTGACTATGGCAAGTGTGCATTCGGCATGGAGTCCACACAGATCCTACAAAGACCTTTAACAACATGATTTTTAGCGTCATATGAGCTTGACCAGTTGAGAACCTTTTGTAAATAAGTCACAAATGTTCAAGCACTTGAACTGATCCTTCAACAACCTTTACAGAAACTCTAATTAACAGGAACATGACAGCACAGCAAACACTTCAGAATGCTACTCTTTTATGAGAGTACTCATAGGTAGATTCAAAATGACCAAAGTGGAAAGAATTCCCCTGCATTTGGGGAGGGAAAATTAAAAATAAAATCCGTGATGACAGATACAGAGGGTGAGGCAAGGAAGGGGCATCAAACTGAGCAACCAGAAAGAAAAAGGAGGACAAGGACTGAAAATGGAGGAAAATGGGTGAAGGTTGAGAGGGAACATCACTGGTGTGATGAGTTCACAGGCAGGCGGCAGGGACAAGAGATCTTTTACTCACTGGAAAACACAAGGAAATGGGCAGGTCAGAAAGGAAACAGAGGTATTTGACAGGAATTACTTTAGCAAGGATTTTTCCCTCCCTCTCTCACCTTACTGCAGAATTGAAATTCATTTTAATCAAAAAGGGGTTTTTATATGCTCTTCTTAGAACCTGACCAAAGTGTTGTCTCCTTAGTCAATATATCTTAAAGTCCCCAAACGTGCCTAAAATATTCCCCCCCTTGCTATAACTCTAACGGCCTACAATCACTTCAAGCTGTGGTCTCCTCAGTTAGGATAAACAACGTTGTGCCAGTGTTTGGCTGATGAAAACCTCCAGCAACATACCAGGAGTTTGAAAGGGAGACATTGTAATTTTGGAGAGGGCACTCCTCCCTGTGAATTACTGTTCTGTTAGCATCCCACCATGCCATTAGGAGACACCACTCAGATCCTAGTGGTAGCTGTCCTAGGCCTTGTTTACAACGAAGCATATTTGCTAAGGCATCACCACGCCAACATAACTACTCCCTTTCTACTCCCCAGCTACTATAAATCTCTCACTGCTTTGCATTATGCACCACAAAAGTCCCAGAGACCCCTGTAATCTTCCATAGAAGCGAGCAGTTTAACAAGAGCACCCTTGTCCAGCGTAGCTAACGTGTTCCTTAAGCCAGGTTTTTCCTACATAGGCTCCTCAGAGTGCAGGGCATTTTCATCCACCTCCAGGCCAGAGTTGCTTATGTGGACTAAGCAGACAGCTGACATTTTCCACTCTTAAGAGGCTGGTGGCTGGAAAGACTTAGCCATGATACCCTTTTTTTAAAGCTCTTTTCTGGATAAATGTATGATCATCTTTTTAAGGCTGTTTTTCTGTAGCGGTTTAAAACATTACAGAGTCTGACACCTACCTCATGGGAAACGCACCCGCAGCTGACGCCCGAAGCAGCGTTCAGGGCAGCGCCACAAGGGATGATCCTGCTCGTAGTCCCCACCTCGCAGATAACTGCCCAGCACGTGGCTGATTCCGTGCATCCTCCACCAGAAACACAGGTTAGGGCGAAGCTCCTGTCAGGTCTGTTAGCACACGCTGAAGGAAGAGACACTAGTCTGGCTGCTGGTCCCACTTCCACCCCTTGGGGACCGCTCTCACCAGGGGGACTTCGGCATTAATGTGATGCCAGAACGCGAGGAGCAGCTGCTACTTCTCCATGTCCCATTCAAGAAGTGAAGGGAGGAAGCTACAACTTCATTTGTTGACTTTTGGCACTGGCTGTTTCTTTACACAAGAGTAACTGGGAGGCTAGATGAACCAGGGAATTGGTAGTAAAAGATAAAATACTTTTTAGACAGTGCATATGCTTCTGATCAGGCTTGCCTGGACAGCAGTCCAGGGCTGTCATTGTTGCAGAACAAGGCTGCTTTGTTTTTTATTTATTACTGGTAATATGAAGGCAGCTAGTGGCCCCAGCCAAAAGTCAGGGCTGTACTGCATCGAATGTTGTTCTCTAAAGTCATAAGTAAAAATGTTTGTCCTCAAAAGCTTCTATGGGAGACAGGCAGTGGAAGGAAGGAAACGCTATCTCTGTTTTGCTATGGCAACAGATGCGCCGGGATGTTTGTGCAGGGTCACATAGGAAATCTGTAGCAAAGCCAGAATTTGAACCTACATCTTCTGCATGCAATTACAGCACTAGCACAACAGGTCCTTCCTTCCTCTCAGACATTTGTTGTTTGACTTCTAGCTGAAGGCTTGAACCCAAGACCATCAGGATGGAAAACAAGCCTTTAACAGTCACATCGATAAAGCAACTCCATCAGCAATCAGCAGTCGAAAATTCCAACCACGCCTGCAGATCAGGAGAGAGCAGTTGTTCCACCAGTGACTGCATTCAGATGCAACCCGACTCTATTTATAAGGCTCCACACTGCATGTTCTAGGAGGCAACTTTCTGAGCCAAGTTTGAAAGCCATGAGGCAAAAAAAGCTTGTTTTCCTGCTGCATCGTTGCATCATTGCGCTGTGTAGGCGTGACCACGGTGCCAAGGGATGCAAATTCAGACCTATCCCTACAGGCAGGAAGAGCTGGACATAGTTCAGGCTAACGTTCAATATCTACCGGTTGCCTGTTCAATGTAGTATCTTTGTTTTCATCGAGGAGCCCTAGATAAGGTCTTCAAAAATTACTTGTTCTTCTCCAGAGCACCACGACAGTCACATTCATCTGGGGGAAGGTTTGCAGCTATAGCATTGTCAGAGCTAATGTCTTTTGAGTGGTGTTGAGCTTGTACAGAGCAAGGTGCCAGTTCACAGAACAAGCAGAGTAACAGAAAAGACAAAGAGCAGAAAGGGAAAAGCAAGGAAATTGATAGCAGCAGATATCGTGAAACTGATAGCCTTTAATTGAATGTGTATCCTTCTCAGACGTTATGGTAGCGAAACATTTAATTTCATTGATTCACAGGTTTGAATACGAAAATGTGGGCTGACTAATACAACAAATCCCAGTGTTAACTGTAAACTAGCGTAGCAAATTCCGCTTCAGAAATTTAAGTTAAACTGCATCTTGTACTATTTTTCACCACGTAGTTATTACTGCCTGTCTCTGAAATTCAAGACTTCCAATTTACACTTTTTAAAAAATTTTCCAGAAACCTGATAAAGGACATACAAATGGTGAAATACCATTTGTTTTCAGAAACAAAATTGTTACTACACACGCAGCTTTGTTGTCTGCCGGCCTTAGGAACCCAGATGCTTTAACAAAATGGCATTTCAGAGCTGTTCAGTGGTTGTTAAGAGGTTTCTGGACACCCCATTCCCTCACTGCTTCAGCTGGGACCCTTGGCCCAGCACAGGCCATGGGCTTTTGAGCTCCGTGTCTCCTGGAAATCCCTGGAGATGCATCTTCTACAGCTTGGGGAAGGTCACCGCTCAGAGTGGCCTGGTGATGGAGAAGCTGGCCAGATAAAGAGAGCGAGGCCACAGTCCGTTAGAAACCTGCCTGACAGGTGGTGTTTCACTGGAGTTGCGCTGGTGGTTAAAAAACCCCTTCATTCTTCCAAAATCCATCTTATTCCAGAAAGTTACCAAACAGGTAGCAGTCTACACTCATATTCTCAACAGTGATTGGGAATGAGTCGAATGACAAAAGGTGTTGATCTGATTTGTTGATCTGCCCGGTACTACAGATTTCAAAAGCTGTTTGTCATGTGAAGCAAAATCCTCAAAAAGATGGACAAGAGGAACATATATTCACTGATTCTCCCGGACGAGCTTCTGGAATTTTGCAAAGTGACTTGAAAAACCAAAATTTTGATGATTAAAAGGTGGCAGAAAGGTTTACAGGGACAAACAAGCTGCACTGTATGAAGCATCATACAGAGCTTCCAGCTGGAAATTCAGATGGAACAGGGGATAACATAGTTAACAAATCAATGTTAAATTGATTTATCTATTTAAAATTTAACTAAATGTTAAAATATGGGAGTCCTCTCTGTGGCCCTACAAGATGTTACATGGAAGGGAAAGGAAAGGGTGTTTGAGGACAAAAGGACACTTGAAAAAGTCTTTCCTAACATACCAGGTCATTTAGGGAGTTTTACATAACCCTTTAAAATGTCTTTTCTTCAGCAATTTTTGACATGCCTTTCCCATTAGCATAAGTGGGAAATGCAGGCAAATTAAAATAGTCCCCTCGAGCTATCACAGGGAACGGTCCTGTCACTTCCACCCTTGGCTCAACTCCACCCACCACAAAACCTGTAGTGGGAGACCTGGAGTAAAGAAAGCATCAGTGACTTTGTACACACTACAAGCACCTAAACCAGAACGTGCATGGGTCTGCTGCTCACGGCTAGAGCGCTCAATGGTGAAATGTTATTATTCAGAGCCTGATTTATCACTAGTACTTCCAGCATGGCTCCCTGGGGGTTAGCAAGCCTAGGAAATACAAGAGATCTTATTGAGCAACGCAACTGGCAGCAGGAAAGGTACAGAGGCAGCATTCACCACATCCCCTTAGCTCGTGAGATTTAGGCCAATACCTGACCGTACAATATGTATTCACACGGTTCTGTGCTACTCGTGACTTTGAAATCAGAAGTGAGACTTTTTTTTTGTCTTCCCAGTCCATTTTTCCACCAATATTTTACCAGTTTGTACACAATAACTATTGAAACAGTTGTTATGAGCCAAACGTTGATAGGCTGAGCAGTGCAAAACAGTCCCACTGAAGCAAACAGCCCCCACTCATGCTGCAAGGCACCGATACTCAACGTGAGAATGTAAAGCAAAACCTGTTCCTAAATCTCAACTGTTAAAACAGGAGAAAACCTAAACACGATCAGTTACTATGAGACACTTTTAGAACTTGTTCTCGTAAACGGTTAAGTGATTGGGTTTAAAATCATTATTAAACCAGGTGTTCAAGAATTTGCCACAGTAAGATTTTTAGACTTAGTAACTGTCCTCTTTACTGTGGGTATAAAAAAAATACACTTTACCTTTTCACACTAGCAGAACTACTATTCAAACTGAGAAAAGGCTCATTAAAGCATGGACTTTTGGAACTATTTGTTTCAAAGTTAGAAAAACAGATAGATGGCTATAGATATAGGATACAACCTAACTAGGAGTAATCCTTAGGTCCAGTAAAATTAAGCCCTAAAACCAGGGATTTTACCCGAATAATAAGGGAGATTAGGCTTTGATCCCATGTCCCTGATGCTAATTTGTCACCCCATATTGCCTGGCAGTAAACAATTAAGTGCCAATCCTGGAAGGCTGATAGGAGCCAAGGGAACTTCATGCCTAGCAAAGACAAGGGAAGTATATTGTTTCCTGTTTACACTGGACATGAGCTTTATATAATTATCCTACCAGTTAGGATTAACTGGGCAATTATCCTGGCAAACAATGGGACATTGATGACAGCAAAACAAAGGCATCTCAGAGCAGCTCCTTTGTCAGCGCTGCTGCGGGCCGGAGCCCCCCCGAATCGCTGAGCCCTGGCTGCGGTCCCGGCGCTATCAGCCCTCGAACAAGGGCTGCACAGTTACTGGGGAGAAGCAAGGGAAACAGTTTTCCTAACCTGTCAGCGTTTAAGAACTCAAACATTTTTCCTTACCACAAAAGGAGTTGGAAATTTGGAGGGAAAAAATGTCCACAGACTAAGCATAGGCAGAACAGAACGGCTGGAGAGAGCAGCTTCGCTTTCCACACTTCTGAAACGTTTCCTTCAGATTTTGACCTCCTTTATCTGAGCAAAAGCAGCATTTCAACACTGGAATAGGAAAAAAAAAAAAAAAGAAAAGAAAAAAAAAGAGAAAATATCAGAATGGGAATGTCAAAGGGCTTAGTTGTGTTTTTTTTAACCCCAAAAGCCTCTAAGCAGGAGACTCAGCTAGCTGAATCTTTCTTGGCAACAATTCCAGTTCAGTGAATTGACTCATTTTGTCAGAAAATTTCTGACCAGCAACAGTTGGTGGTTCATACAAGACAAAAGAATAAAATAACAGTGCCATTCCCATGACTATTTCTAGCACAGAGGACTCTGTTCAGGCCTGGCATGGCAGGCACCGTGCACTGTGGTCGCATTTCTACACCCCTTGCCACACCAGATCTAAACAAAGCCCGAATCACAGAAGGCACTTGCTCTGAGCACCGATTCCCATGTTAGATGAAGCCTTAAAGTTACCCAGGCTGAGCAGCTGCACAACACAAATTCTACAAATTAAATGAATCATTTCGAATTTTAACACCGAATTTGTACTTTTTCCAGCACATTTCAGAGGCATCTGAGGACGGCTCTGAAATGCACTGGTGCCTGCTTGGTCCCTTGTTAATCCAAGAATCCCAAGACACCAGAAGTTTAGACCTGTTCTAAATCTGGTCAGTTATATTTAGCCCTAGTATTTTCTCTCTCGTACTGAAAAAAGAAGGAAAAATTCCCTTATTTTCTGAAAACAACTCAAAAGATGATTGTGTCTACAGAACACTTCGCACTAAATCTTAAAATACCTACAAACTTAAACACTTAAAAACCTGAATCTTTAGATAAAGATTTGATGCTTATGGCACAACTGACCTTTAAAATCTCCGATATTCAGGTATGTCAAACATTCTGTCTCTATGGCAATACGTACAACCACCATCTTGAAGGAGACCAGACTTGAGAATATCTATTAGTTATCCAAATTCCAGATTTTCCAAGATCACACTGTGAGAGCTGGTGATGTATACTTGTGACGAACGCTTATTTCAGCCTGAATAAACTCACTACATTACTGAGGATTAAATAAAACCTCCAGCAAAAAAAAACCCTCATGCCTCAACAGTTTTACAAAAGGGACAAATTCCAAGTGATTCCCAGTTAAGAACAAAGTCCAAAACTCAGTGACTTCTATGAATTCAAGTTGCTTTTATTCCTTATATTTCGTTCTGGAGACCAGCAGGCACAGAATACTCATCCACTGCAAATATACACTAAAAAAATAAAAGTTCCCTTCAATTTAGGGAAACTAGTTACACAGGTACGTGTTATTCCAGAAATTCAAGAAGGCTGTGAGAAGATAGGATGGCATTGTTTTTTCTCCTTTTGTCTTTCTACGTTCAATTTTTGGTGAAGTTTTCTTGAGATGAAGAAGAATCATGAGGAGAGAGGATAAAAACCATTTGGAAGCTGTGCAGGTTAGGAAAATACACTTGAGAAAACAAGAGAAAGGGTCTTAATACTTTCATACTGTTAAGCAGGAAAGAAGCAGAGGATAGATACTTTTTAATGAACATGATGCTACTTTTACATCCCTGTTCCCTCTGGAGACTTGCACTTTTTAGTTTTGACTGATAATAAATAATAGGTTTCCTGCCACTAATGACAAGATTCCCCTCTCCCCTCCCAGGTTAACCGGGTCTGTCCAAGAGATCTGGCCCTTCGCACACAATAGCTCACTAGCTGCAGAGCCCCTGCAGAGGCATACTGAAAGCACACAGAAAAATATTTCTTCTGCTCTCTTCCTGAACTTCTTAAACTCTAGGTGACCCAGAGTAAAATCCATTTTAATGGGGCCTCGGTTAAATCAGTCAACTGAGTCCTTGTTGAACTAGGCAACACGATGCAGAAATAAAAAAATAATTAGAAAAAGGCGTTCTTGTTTCTTTTTGGAGTCTTGGTTCTTACTTTCCTTTCCTTAGACAGCAAGGAAATAGTTACGCTCCCAGTTTTAATCATCACTGTAGAGCTAACCAGCATTAATCAAATAGTGC